TAACTGTTTCATTTTATATATAATATAGAAGTGAAATTATTAAATATTTTGCTTTTTTAGTCACAGATGCTACATTAAACAGATTGTTATAACACATGTAACTGTATAAATGAATTAAATTAATAATTATTATATAAATAATAATATAACATAATATAATTAAAAAATTATTATATGATGCAAACAACATAACTGGTTTAATAGTATTCTATTTCTAGAATAGTCTAATATTTCAGTAAAACTGGTTTAACATTAGGCTGGAAGAGTATTAATACTACAAATACTGAGTCTGTTATGTATAACTTTACTTTTGTGCTTCCAGGTTGTGTATTTCACGGCCACTTTTCCTTACTTGGTGATTTTGATCCTGCTGGTCCGAGGCGTGACCCTAGAAGGAGCCAAAGACGGGATAGAGTTCTACATTGGCACGCAATCCAATCTGACGAAGCTAGCTGAAGCCCAGGTAGGTGTTTGGGCATGTTAAACTGGTTTTGGATCGAGAAGAAGATTCTCCAGTTTGATGGAAAACCTTGTTGTGTTGCAGGTGTGGAAAGATGCTGCGACTCAGACCTTCTACTCTCTCTCCATCGGCTGGGGAGGACTCATGACTCTTTCTTCTTACAACAACTTTCACAACAACGTCTTTAAGGACTCGTTTGTTGTGTCTCTTACTAATGCTGGTAGGAGCTTACAGCCACCAGGCTTTGATGAAATGTGAATATTAAATGAGTATTATGTCTTATGTATGTCCTGTTGTCTTCACAGGGACCAGTGTGCTTGCAGGCTTTGCTATCTTTTCGATATTGGGTCACATGGCTCACGTCTATAAAATACCCGTTGGAGAAGTTGTGAAGGAAGGTTAGATATTCAAAATATTTGAAAACTAATGAGATTAAATATGTTAATAAGTATATATATATAATTAGTAATAATTGGATGGACTTTAGTTTATTTTGCTGTATTTCCTGCAGGATTTGGCCTGGCCTTCATTGCTTATCCAGGAGCTCTTTCTCAGCTTCCCATTTCACCGCTGTGGTCCATTTTGTTCTTCTTCATGCTTTTAATCGTTGGTCTGGACTCCCAGTTTGCAGGAATAGGTTAGTTTTTCAGCAATTTTTTGCAGAACAATAAACGTTAAGCTGATAGATTTTATTTTTTTTATCTTTAGAGGTAATAACCACCTGCCTGGTTGACGCTTGTCCTAAACTCTTCAAATCCAGACGAGCCTTACTGACAATAACAACGTGTTCTGTTCTCTACCTTCTGGGTCTGCCATGTGTCACAAGAGTAAGTCTGCATCACCGTACCCTTCTTTACTGTTGTCCCACTTAGAACTACTTAACAATCACAGTATGTGTGCATGTGTGTGTGCGTGTGTGGGAACATCACAGGCAGGAATATACTGGGTGACTCTCATCGACCAGTTTGTAGCCAGCTGGGTGCTGCTGTTCTTGGTTCTCTTGGAGATCATTGGCATTTCCTACATCTACGGTAAATTGAACTAGAGAAATTGCATTTCCTTCGAAAATGCAGTGTGAATGCTTTTTGCTGGAGAACTTGCTGAGAAACAGCTGAAATTAGCTAAAACATGCTGAAATGTAGCTGAAATGGAAGAACAAGCCTAAGTTAGCAGAAGAAAGCGGAAAGAACATTTACTGAATTTGGTTTAAATAAACAGAAATGAGCATATAAAATGTGTAAATTAGCTTAAAAAAGCTGAAATTAGCAAGAAATTACTGAAAAATAGCTGAAACAGCAGAAAGGAGCTTAAATTAGCAGAAGGAAGTGGAGAAAGCACTATTGTGCCCAAATAGGCTTAAAGAAACAGTAATGAGTACAAAAAATGGGAATTATCTGAAAAAAAGCAGAAATTTGCTTAAAAAAAAACTGAATAGTAGCCAAAAAAGCAGAAAGAAGCTGAAATTTCCAGAAAGAAGCTGAAATATCCAGAAGGAAGCGGAGAGAGCACAGTTTTGCCCACTTAGGATGAAAAAAGTTGAAGCAAGTGCAAAAAATGTGGAATTAGCTGATAAAGCTAAAATTTGCATAAAAACTGCTAACTAGTGGCTGAAACAGCAGAAGAAGTTGAAACTTGCAGAAATAAGCTGAAAGGAGCATAACAAGCTGAAATTAGCTGAAAGAAGTTCGAAGAAGCACAAAAATGTTTTAGTTAGCAGAAAGATTCTCAAAATAGCACAAACAGCTGAAAAAAACACTGCTTAAATTAGCTGAAAGTAGCTGAGAAAAAGTTTATATTTGCACATGGAAGCTGAAAGAAGCTGAAGCAGAACAAAATGTGAAAGGAGCAGTAAAAGGTTGTAAACACATCTAAAGATTTGAAGGATGTAAAATGAGCTAAATTCATTTTCTATGAAAAAAAAAACAACGTCCGAACAGGCTAAATATTTCTAAAAGCTAAAGTTGCACCAACACTAAAAACCATAGCAGGGTTGTCCTGAAATAGCTGAATGTTTTGATTTATGATTTGCTGAAATAGCTTGAAAACTGTAGGACGAGAAAGACACACAAAAAAATTAAAAATAAAAATACGTACAGAATAGGGATAATAAGAAAAAAATATAAACAGGATCACAATAGTGTGAATGCTTAATAAGCACTCACACTATAACTAAAATCTTTTAAAGGTAACAGATGGACTCAAACTGCAGCTTGTGTGTTTTTGTCACAGGAGGGAACCGTTTTATAAAAGACATTGAGATGATGATTGGAAACAAGACTTCAGCTTTCTGGCTGTGGTGGAGGCTGTGTTGGTTCTTCATCAGCCCCTGCATCATACTGGTGAATAACGAAACCTCTCGCTTTGGTCCTGTCTGCTCCAATTTTAACCTTAAGAGAAACAGTTCTGTCCTTAAAGCAGTCTCGCCTGTTGTAGACAGCTCCTTGAAGCAGCTGATGACTGGATCACAACTATCTTGTTTTCATGCCGGGATGAATTTGAGCTTAACTCCCAAAGATTGACGACAGTGTGTTTTGTCTTGCAACAATAGTTTGATGGTGACTTATCTGATTTCTACATTTCTGAAAATGAATGAACTTGAACTTGTGTTCTTGTTTAGATGATCTTGGGATGGTCTGTTGTCACCTTTGTCCCCCCCACCTATGGAAACGTAAACTATCCGTCCTGGGGCTTGGCTCTGGGCTGGTGCATGGTGGCTTTTGTCCTTATCTGGATCCCTGCTGTCGCTGTTTTTAAGCTGATTAAAGCAAAAGGAAACCCATGGAAGGTGGGTGATTATTCAAACATCTGTGTCTTTTTCTGCATTTTCCAAAGAAAGTCACTGTTCTGCAAGAAAAAAAGATCTGATCACGTTCTTCTTTTTCACTTTCTTTCCAGCGTCTGAAGTCACTCTGCTCGCCTTCTGAAGACTGGCATCCCTACCTGGACATTCATCGAGGGGAGCGCTACTCAGAGGAGCGCTGCCGCCGTAAGAAGAAAAGTAAAAAACATTTAGAGGTTGAAGTGATCTCCAGCTCGTGGCTCTGATGAGTCCGTTTGTTTACATGCTTAGGTTTTTCACATTTCAGGAAGATTTCTGTAACGAACAGTTGTAGAAAACGTTGTTCACACTGAATGAGAGCTCATTTTCAGCCAAGCCGAGACGTCCTGATGCATGCTCCATAATCCAGGGAGATAAATCTGACCAAGGCCAAGACATTGCACTAACTCTAATCAAGTAGAGCTAATGTAAAAAGATGAGTCAGGTGCATAAACTGATCAAAAAAAAATGAGAAAAATGTGAAATTAAATACCGTACATAGAATTACAAGCAACTGCTAGGGAGGCAGAAAACACGTGACAGTAATGTTAGACAATAGTTGAGTTTACGTTCAATCAATAATCCACAAACCAGGGCCTGAAACACGCTACTCAGTGAAAAACATTAAAACAGCACAGCTTTGAGCACTTTTCATGTCGTCTCTCGGCTTTATTTGAACAGTTTGCTCATGTCTGACAGGGTGACTGCAAATTTGTTTTATTGTCGTAACCAGATCTTAGAAGATATGCAGGGCAAAAAGACATTACGGACGCTTTCTTTACCTCTGAGGTATTTAGATAACAACAGGATCTTTTGAAATCTTTTATTGCAGCCACCTGATTACCTTCCTGCTGCAGTTCTTCACACACACACACACGTTCTCGTAGTTGCACTTTGTGGGGACTTTGCATTGACTATCATTCATTTCTAAAGCCTAACCCTGACCCTTCCCCTGAATCTAACCATTACTATTACATGCCCAACCCTAACCCTAATCCATCCGCAATTCACACCGTAGTCCTAAATCTAACCCCGCAATGAGACTTATCCTTATAGGGACCAGGCTGTGGCCACCACAATGTAACCTGAAACAAAAACGCACACACACACACGCTGCTGAGAGACAGACAGGTGCTCCGTCTGTTTTCCCACAACCACGTCACACCCAGTTTAACCACAGGTTATCAGCGCCAGTGATGGGACATTTACATGAACCACACTGAGAATATTGTTATCACAAATTCATGGGTCGTAAAAGTAAATCAAATGTAACAACATGCAAAATATGAAATGCATTTCAAGTAATTCTTCATGCTTGACAGCACAAACCCAAAGTATCATCAGAAGAAATCAACGCTCGTGTCAGTGATTCATTGGAGCTTTTCTTATTATTCATCGAATATGTTTTATATTGTTTTTATCTGATTGTTTCTGCATCATTAGAAATTATGTGGAAAGTAACACCTCTGATTTTCAGTATATATCTCCTGCTTCTCATGAATTTATTTATTAGGCTGACAACTCTGTGTCAGAGATGTAACAAATGTAGGATATCTTGTGAATGTTGTGTTTTGGTTTATCTTTTATTAATAAATAGGCTCATATAGACTTTAGTTGTTTGACAATCAAACAGTCTTGTAACGTATGTAAGATTGTTCATTTAAATAAACCAAATTACTCTGAATAGTTTCACCAGAGCTTCTGAAACATCGGTGACAACGTCCTGCTTGTGTTAATGTACAGTGGATGGAAGAACTTCGGTAGATTCTTGCTTCACAGTCGAGTCAAGTTTTTTAAAAGCACGTTTAAAAACAACAGGTCGTAACATAAATGAAAATGGAAAGGTACAACCAAGAATAAAACAAGCTTAAAAAATCTAAAAAATTATCAGAATAAGATTTTAACCTCGAACAATTTATCATAAATTGTCCAAATTAGCCAATAATGAGAACAAATGCATCTTTAAAAGAGATTTAAAAACAGGAAGTGAAGAAGACTGTGTAATTCAGGGCTATATATATATATATATATATATATATATATATATATATAT